TCTTTTCCTCTTTGTGTGCATGTGCTCTTCAATAGGTTCACAAAGTGTTTCCCAATGGACTAGCATCTCAGGAAGGAACTATTCAGAAGGGAGATGAAGTACTGTCCATTAATGGGAAGTCTCTTAAAGGTGCAACTCACAATGATGCCTCAGCAATCATGCGACAGGCTCGACAACCCAGACAGGCTGTTGTTGTCACTAGAAAAGCTAAAGATGGAGAAAAACATCTCAATGTTTCAATTGATTCTCATATCTCTTCAGTAGCAAGTGATGTCCTACAGGAATCTGGTGAGTAAGCTCAGTGTTCTTACCTTGCAGCCCCCATCTGCTGTGTGCTTGCTCATCACCTGAAATCCGGGTGTTCATAAAGCAGCACAACATTGACTGTGTAAATCCAAGAACCATTATTAAAGACAACATGGTTAATCAAACACTTCTGAAACAGACATTTGGAACAACTTTGCTGGAAAGGGAAAGAATTAATGGATTTCTAAAATAAAGAAGCCCTCTGAAAAAAAACAACAAAACAAGTGTGATCCTCTGTATGAATTTCTGTAGACATATGAAGAATATTACTGAAGTAATGCATCTAATTGAAGGTATAATGACAGCTCAGTGAACAATGGGTCTTTATTCTAATGTTATTAGATTCTAGTTTAAAAGACTTTTTCTCTGTGAAAAAAAATTTGGTTTGGACAAACAAGGTGCTATTGTTTGATATAGCAGGTGGTTACAGCTGAAACAAGGCAAGGTCAGATTTTGCAGAACCTTTCACATTCTTGAGATATTTTTGTGTTTGGTTTTTTTGTTTGTTTTGTGGTTTTTTGTTGTTGTTGGTTTTGCTCAAGAATAAGCTGAAGATGTCCAGCTTTATTTATGAACTGCAAATAAATATCAGCAACTTTGTAGATTATAACAATTTCACAACTAACATCGGGTCAAATACTTTTCCCTTAAACTTTGTTCACTGAACAGATTTTTCTAACACTAGTAAATGTCACCAACTTTCAATGTTGTATTTCCAGTCTGCCATGAATTCATACACAACTTTCTCCCCCCAGGTTCCTAGAGGGCCTTATAATGACAAAAAGAGGAATTAAAAGCTATAGTTTTATGTTTCAATTGGAAGTTTAGCTTGTCTTTGCAAACAAAACAGAAGTTTATTTTTGGTAACAGATGTTCTAGCTCGTCAGACTACGTGGTGCCCATCTGCTAACTTTCCATTTGCTTCCAGCAACTGAAGATACAATCTGCACTGTAATGCTAGAAAAAACACCTGCTGGTTTAGGATTCAGTCTGGAAGGAGGGAAGGGTTCTATTCATGGAGATAAACCCATCACCATCAACAGGATATTTAAAGGTAAACACACTGAAATGCATCCATGGCAGGTTCTTAGCTGATGCAAACCTATCCACTTCATAACTGATTTATATTCATGAAAATGGTATATTTTTATAAATGCAGCATTACCCTGTGCAGTGCCAGCATTATGTTGGCATAACAGAGACCAGGTGCTTTATACCAAACATGCTGGTGATCTTTAAAAACTGAAAGATATGTTAGACTCTTCCATGAAAAGAATTAAAGGAAATTAATTTTCTTTCTCCAGGGACTGAATTAGAACAAAGCAGCTCTGTTCAGCCTGGTGATGAACTATTACAAGTGCACACAACTGCCATGCAGGGACTCACTCGATTTGAAGCCTGGAATATAATCAAGGCATTACCTGATGGGCCCATCAGAGCTATCATCAAGAGGAAGAATAAAAGCTTTATTACCACCAAGTCACCTGGAACTTTGTAAGGGAAGAAATTAGACTACTGCCAATATTACAAACAAAAAAGGATGTTATAACTTGCAACCATTTGGGTAGCACAGCAAGATAGTCAGAAAGCACATATGAAAAGTACACATCTTACTGCCAGTTCCAGAGCAAGCTGTCTGGGGTAAAATAAGATGTGCACAAAATGGGCATGATTCTTATTTCCACATTCAAAAACAGATATTAAAAAGTGTAGAATTATAAAATAATGACTTTATTAATAATATACTGGTTGTAATAAAATGTGACAGCTATACTACTCTCCTGTTTTAAGCCATTAACTTAACCAAATATCAGAAGAATACACTGTGCTTTCATCCTACTCCACAATTCTTGCTGCCTTCCTTGCCTTTCCAGGAGGAAAAAACATCTCTGCAAACCTTCAACTAAACACTGCAGCAAATGAAAACCATTAGAAAATGTGAATGGGGCACAGAAAGGGAAACACAACTTTGTGAATAATTACAATAATGTGCCCTGAAAAACTTCAGCTTTTCTATCCAAACCACAGAACAGCCAGAACAGTCAAAACCTGCCTAGGGTAACTTCTTACTCACAGCCAACAGAGCCAGCTCACCTCCAACAGGCAAACACAGGGAGGGAGCATCTCATGGTATTCCAAGGGCAGGCAGGAAGCTGAGGGTAATGTAACAGAGGTCTTTCTGACCTACCTCTGGCCAGAACTCTTGAAGGAGCACAGCAGGAAATTGACAAGGCCATTTAGAACCAACTCTTCCTTCTAGCTACACATTTTTTGAAACACCTTTTTGTTAATGTAGTACCAAAAAGTACCAGTGAGAGTATCTGGGGATTAGGAGTTGTGAATCCGAATGTTTATTCTGGAAACACTAAATAATCTATGCTTCAAATGCTGCTACTGGCATTTTGGCAGTGCCCTCTGAGCACTGCATGGGATTCTAACAGGAGCAACGTGTATCCTCTGTGGTAAGATGGTGTTGTTGGGTCTTCTCTGACCTATTTCACAAAAGGAAGAGCTGCAACATCAGGATGCAAGTAGTGACTTGCCAGTTGAAAGCCAGGTGGCTGCACTGGTTATTGTTCTTGGTTGTTCACCTTCCCATAGCCAGGAATTTGCTGCAGCCCTCCTCAGTTACTTGCTTCCACAAAACCATAAACAGCAGGAGTTCAGAAGCTATTATCTATGCACTTAACACAATGTCACAGGAACAGCAAGTTAGAGAAAGGGAAGTAATCTTTGCCAGAACATTTATATCTCCAACTTCGCAGAGCAGAAGGCTGAATGTTAAGGGGTCTTAAATACTTCTGGATGGAATGTGTTAACACTCAGAAAGGGGATTCCTAAGTCACTGCAAGGAAGAGCCTCTCTCGCCATCTTTATTAATCAGAGTAATTAAAAGTAATAATATAATAAATAGCTAATAAAAAGCCCCATTGTCTGCAAAAGGTTTACTTGCAGGAATAATGAGTGGTCACCTAAGCTCTGCTCCTTGAACTTTTTGCTAACTAAATTAATCATAATCCTGCAAAGACTTGCCAAGATACTGAACTTCATGTCTAGCAGCTGTAGCACATTTAGATAAATGTGTATGGACCCAAATCTCACCACAGTGAATACATTGCTCTGTAAGCACAGAAAGCAGCAGTCTAAATTGGAAATAAGGACCAACTAAGGGCAAAGATGCTGGGAGGGTGAGTGATCTCACCAAAACACTTTTATCCCCACTTAGTGGGGAGTGTAAACAAGACCAAAGGCTTCTCCCTGCCTCACTACCTTGAATTCAGAGACATGCTGGATGTTCAGATGGCTCTTCTGTTTCCTTGATAGCAAAGCAGATGCATGAGGAACCATTTTAAAGGAAAATCCAGGAAAAACAGCAAGATATAGCAGGAAAATATTTATTTAATCACAAAGTTTTTACATCTTTGTACACAAAGGAGACTAGATTAAAAACTTTTTCCTTTAAAAATCTATTCCATAGGGCGAGATTTACAGTGGAAAATTTGTGTGCAATTCCATGTCCTGAATTTAAAACAAATACAGGGACAGAAAGCAGAGCATATTAACCTTGTTTAATAATTGAGCTACAGCATTAAAATCACAACCTGCATTTAAACACCTAATTAGTTTTCCTTCTGCAATTATATGTAATCCATACTAATGTTTGACACTCCTGCAGTAACCAGCACCAGAAAGATTTTCTAAAGCTGGATACATCACTGCACACAAGGTCAGGAGATGATTTCCCAAGACATGTTGTGAGACAAACCAGTCTTGGAAAAAAAAATAAAAATGCAATGTCCTCCTGACCTGTCAAGACTAAGCTACAGAAAAGATTACTTACCCATTAAAACCTCTCACCAAAAGAGACTGAAAAACTTTCAAGTGCAGTTAAAAATGGTAATTTCAAGTACATTTAAAAAAAAAAAGGCAAGTAAAGTGCTTAATCCTCTTTATTGTCACTATGCTAGTGCAGTTTGTTTCACAACATTGTTGTTTTGGTAAAAGAGAGGAGAAAGGAAGAGTGTCTAATTGCCAACCCACAGGCCTATAAATTGATTTGCACTGGTAGGTTTCATTTAGAAAAAAAACACTTCAAGGCATATTTACCATCAGTACTGAAGTTTGCTGGGACAAACAAGTGGGATTTGTCCAGTTTGTTCTGGTATCCACCATTTAGACCCACCGAAGCATCTCAGCAGCTCTGTGAGTGCTGGCAGCAAAAGAGCTCCCACTTCATTTCAAGAAGGAGCAATGTTCCAGAGGAGTCTGCAAGGAGCTTCAGAGACAAAACAGGGCTGGCCTGCACCTGGCTAGTGCTGTAGTGCTGAGTGGGTTTTAGCAATGCTTCTCCTCACTGACACAGACCAAGTGTGGCCAAGAACAGATCTAGCATGTGCATCTTCTCCCTGCAGACAGGCAGTGGTGCTGCCTCCAGGATTCTTCCACCTTCTGGTGTGATATTTATCTAATTATGAAAATTCAGGATATTGTATTAAAAAAAAAATTCATCACTTTGAGAATAGAGACAGACAGAAAACGCTGTTTTAAAAATATACTCAATCTGTTGTTTCCCTTTCACTTTTCCTTAATATCTTTGCTGGTAGTAAAGCCCTGTAGGATCACCTTCCTACTTCTACCTTCAAGCTTCCATTTTTTCTCCTACCCTCAGCTGGTGATATCAGCTACTGGTCTTGTCATGCTTTTAATTCCTGAACAGCTTTGGCCAGATTGCTGTAAAATCCAGTGATGCTAGCTGGAAAGAAGGAATCAACCACTGTCTGGGGAAGAAAGCCACCAAGATCAGTCTGAAAGAAACTGAGGAGCTGAGTCCTGTCTGGTTCCCTGTAAAGACAAGGCAAGTGTTTTTTATAGCCAGCAGTTGAAAAGCATTAAGAACTTTACAATGACTTTTATATGCATCATCTGATTATAGATATTTCCAAGTACTTTAAAAAAACCCCCCAACAAACAACAGATGTTAATTCTGAATTTCAATGAATATGGCTATCCCCACGAGTCACATTACAGTTAAAGTAAGCCTTACTTGGGTTTTTATTCTGCTCATGAATTATGGCAATATAATGATACTCATTAACCAAAAATAAGGACTATACTTCTGTGTTCTGCTGGATCTCTGCTTAAGAGATCAGCAAGAATCCTACAATGATGATGGGTCCTGTAACTAATTAATTGCACGAAAAAAACCAGAAAGGGCACTCAGCCACACTGAGAACCAGTCAAAAGAAGAGGGAAACATGTTATTGTCAAAAGGCTACAGATCATGCTCAGCCACATTCACACCAACACACCACAGGATGGGTAAGAAATGCTTTAGAATACACAGCGTTCAAACAGATCACTTCTTACCCTGGAATAGGTACACAGAAACAGCCACATGGGTAATTAAAGCCTCTCACGAAATTTGGTTGAGGAGGACACAGTGGGTGTTCCACATTGGTGGCTGTAAGAGAAAGCATCCAAGAAAAGTGTCATTGTCACAGAAGATGGAAGTGTCCTTGGTACTTAAAGCACCAGCTGAGAAGCAAACTTACTATACAAGAGTAAATTTAAGAATGGAGTATAATCTTTTCAGTGTGGGGCTGTGCCATACAAGGGGTCAGAAAAAGACTGTTAAAGGAACCACTCTGGCCATGGAATGGAGAAATCAAGGAAGTGTTATATTTAGCAGCAACTGTTACTGAGCTCTGGAGCTAAGAATCAAGACGCTTTGAGGGAGTTTCATTTAACCTATGTGGTGTGAGGCACTATTTTTCTAGAGAGGTCATCCAACAAATCCCTGCCACAGAAGTTTATGCCACTTGACTGCTCAGAAGCTGCACTCTAGCAAGTACATAAATTCCTAGCAAGGCATCCCTGAACAGCATGGGAAAATGGGACAGCTGAACAGCAGGGCAATGAAAGCAACAGGTAAAATAAAATAAAAGGGCAATAATAAAAGGGCAACAAAAGTAATAGGTAAACAACAGCATAAAAGTGCAAAAACAAAGAAACATCCCTCCACACAGTGGCATCCCCTAAAATGCACTGTTTGGTTTTACAGGAACAAGTATTCCCACAGACAGGAGTGGTACATTTATTCAATAGCTTTGTAAAAACCTAGAGGTGTTGCAGAAAATGTTAAAACAAAGTTTAGAGTCCAGAAGAGGGGCACAGAGAAGATCAGAGGGCTGCAGCACCTCTCCTAAAAAGACAGGCTGAGAAAGTTGGGGTTGTTCAGCCTGGAGGAGTCTCTGGGGCGACCTTATAGCAGTCTTCCTACAAGGAAGCTGGGGAAGGACTTAGCCTATAGTACATGGTTTAATGGTTTTAAACTGGCAGAGGGTACATTTAGGTCAGACATTAGGAACAAATTCTTTGGTGTGAGGGTGGTGAGGCACTGGCACTGGTTGCCCAGGGAAGTTGTGGAAGCATTCAAAGCCAGGTTGGTTGGGGCTTGGAGTAACCTGATGTAGGAGCTGTCCCTGACCATGCAGGGGGGTTGGAACTATATGATATTTAAGGCCCCTTCCAATCCAAACCATTCTATGATTCTATGACTCTAAAAGGGATTGCTTTTAGAAAATTCTGTAAATCCTTAAGAAACAACAAAAGCACACACAAAAGGATCCCTATAACTTAACTGTAAATGAAATACTTATTCAATCTCAAAAGCATAGCAAGGGAACAAACCACAGGCCAACAGTATCATCATCTGAATACTCACCTGACTCACATACTCTGTCTGAGGACAGTGATGTAAGAGGCCACTAGTATTGTACCTCCTGACCAAGATCAGGTCAACAGTTACTAAAGAGCATGTTATTTACTTTTTATTTTAAATTTACTTCTGGTTGCTGCTGGTTATCTCTTAACATGACAACACAAGCATCTTACCAGCAGAGAGCATCGTCCCATCTTCGTACTGCTTCACTAGCACCACATCCACAAATTCTCTTGGTGAAATAATCCTCATGAAAGCTGAAGGGGTTGTGGTTCTGCACACAGAGACAATCTGGAAATCACAAAACAGTTATGTCAGTTGATGCTTTCAAAAGTACAGAAGAAGAAGCCTTGGTACTTTCAGTCAGACGTTATAAGCTGCATCAGAGTCCCTGTTACATCCTTTCTTGAAGAGAATGCAAACCAGCACAACCAAACGGCACTGCAGTGTGCTGATGGAAGGCAGCTTGATGGAAGCAAAGAGTAACGGCGTGTTGCTTCCAGTTTGTTTAAAGACAGACACCACAAGGGATTCTGAAAAACAAATCTAACACATCTGTGCTCACAGGACAGTTAAAAAGCTTCTCCTTTCCAGGATGCACCGTATCACACGGAACACAACTTGGATACACTACCATTCTTCTCCTATGGAGGCTTTGTGGTAACAGACTCCCCAGAGCAGAGGTTTCTACCACACTGCTAAGTTCTGCCAAGTCTGATGAATTTCAATGGCAGGCTGCAGCATTTCTGAAGTTTAAGTTTACAATTAATACTAAATGCCTGTAAGGCTCCTCCAAAAAAAATTAACTTCCACAAACATTCCCAGGACTGGTAGTGTTTGCAAACTGGCTGCTTCTGAGCACCTACATCAACTTCAGGGATCTAAATCCAATGTCCTTTGATTTTCTACCTCACTTAAAAATAATAAAAATAAGATAGTAGACTGTATACATGCAGCAGCAGCAACTACTGCTCACACACAAGTCTTTTTCTCTGTAATGCTCCAAGGGCAGCATCCCCGTTTTAATGCCAGACAGTGAGACAAAGGCAGGGTCAGTCAGGGACAAGAGCAGCGTGACCGGCGCCTGCAGCACATCCTGTGCTGCCCTGCTGAGGGAAGGGGCCTTGGTGAACAGATGACATGAGCCCTCCCTGCTGAGCTGAGTCTGTGTGTTCCTTGTGCCTCCCCTTCCTTTCACAGAAAAAAAAGTTGTTCAAGAAAAAGATACTTACTTGATCTGCAGCACTAAAAACAACGCCGTGCTGGATTCCTCAATGTTATAAATGTACATATTTTGAAGTGTGTGGCACTTAGCCAAGAATGAACCTGAGATTCCTTTGGGAAAGGTAAGTTTCTATAAAGGGAAGGAAGGAAGGGAGGGAAGGAAGGGAGGGAAGGAAGGGAGGGAAGGGAGGGAAGGAAGGGAGGGAAGGAAGGGAGGGAAGGAAGGGAGCGAAGGAAGGGAGGGAAGGAAGGGAAGGAAGGAAGGAAGGAAGGGAAGGAAGGGAAGGAAGGAAAGGAAGTAAGGGAAGGAAGTAAGGGAAGGAAGGAAGGGAAGGAAAGACGGGAAGGAAAGACGGGAAGGAAAGAAGGAACGGGACCAAGATGCCCAGTCCCAGCGCAGTCAGAGCTCCAGGCGGAGGCTGCACGACTCCCCAGCCCGTTCGGCCCGCCAGGCTGCCCCAGAGCCCGCCGCTCCACGGCAAGGAAAGAAGGAACGGGACCAAGATGCCCAGTCCCAGCGCAGTCAGAGCTCCAGGCGGAGGCTGCACGACTCCCCAGCCCGTTCGGCCCGCCAGGCTGCCCCAGAGCCCGCCGCTCCTGAGCGCAGAGCTGCGTTCATGGGCCCAGGGCAGTTTTAGGGAACTCACGTCGCTGACGGCTTCGATGACCTCGAAGTCCTTCACGTTTTGGTCCCACTTGGTCCTGCGGCCGCCGGCCACCGGCTTGATGCACTCCCAGACATCCCGGGGGCTGGCG